AGACAGCCATGGACGCAGAGATGGCATCCTGGAAGTCCACTGGCACTTACGTCGACGAGGTTCCCCCTCCTGGGGCGAACATCGTCAGTGGCATGTGGATTTTCAGGGTGAAGCGGCCGCCAGGTTCTCCGCCTGTCTTCAAGGCTCGTTACGTTGCTCGAGGCTTCAGTCAGCGAGAGGGAGTAGACTTCTTCCAGACCTTCTCCCCCACCCCAAAGATGACCACTCTTCGGGTGCTGCTGCACATTGCCGCTCAGCGTGACTACGAGCTTCACTCTCTTGACTTCAGCACAGCTTTCTTGCAGGGCAACCTGCACGAGGAGATCTGGCTGCGCCGCCCTCCTGCCTTCACTGGGTCGTTCCCTCCTGGTACCCAGTGGAGCCTCCGGCGGCCGGTCTACGGTCTCCGCCAGGCGCCACGTGAGTGGCACGACACACTGAGGACTACACTTGCGGCTCTTGGGTTCGCGCCTTCTACTGCTGACCCGTCGCTGTTTCTGCGCACCGACACCTCGCTGCCGCCGTTCTACATCCTCGTGTACGTCGACGACTTGGTCTTTGCCACTGCTGACACTGAGGCTCTCGCCCACGTGAAGTCGGAGCTGCAGAAGAGACACACGTGCACAGACCTGGGTGAACTGCGCAGCTACCTTGGCTTGCAGATCACCCGGGACAGAGCACGCCGCACCATCACACTGACTCAGTCACACATGGTGCAGCAGGTCCTTCAGCGCTTCGGCTTCACCTGGTCCTCGGCACAGGCCACTCCTCTGGCTACAGGTCACTCGCTCTCAGCTCCACCTTCGGACGAGTCCGTAGAGCCGAGTGGTCCTTACCCAGAGCTAGTTGGTTGCCTCATGTAACTGATGACTTGCACTCGTCCTGACCTCGCGTACCCTCTTGGTCTTCTGGCTCGCTACGTGGCTCCTGGTCGGCACCGACCTGAGCACATGGCTGCCGCTAAGAGGGTACTGCGCTACTTGTGCAGCACATCAGGCATGGGGCTAGTGCTTGGAGGGAAGAGCCCAGTTGACCTCACTGGGCACTCAGACGCTTCTTGGGTTGACGATCAGGCTACTCAGCGGTCGTCACAGGGTTACACCTTCAGCCTTGGCTCTGTTTCAGTTTCTTGGCGTTCTACTCGCTCGTCTTCAGTTCTCAGCTCCAGTTGTGAGGCTGAGATCTACGCCACAGCCATGGCTGCACAGGAGTTACGTTGGCTCACCTACCTGCTGAGCGACTTGGGAGAGCGGCCTCGTTCTCCTCCAGTGCTGTACGTCGACAACAAGGCAGCCATTGCCTTGTGTGAGGAGCACAGACTGGAGCACAGAACGAAGCACATCGCTCTGCGTTACTTCCTGGCTCGAGAGTTGCAGCAGCGTGGTCAGCTTCGCCTGCGTTACGTGGCCACTCGGGCCAACACTGCTGATATATTCACCAAGGCACTTCAGTCTGGTGATCATCAGCGTTTCTGCACTATGCTAGGGCTTGTGCCCACCTTTCCTCACTTGCCGTAGGCTTTGCTTGTACTGTGATATATATATATACCTGCATGCTTGCTTTGCTAGGTAGAGATCACTGTGCTGCTTGTGTTGCATATATGCCTCTGCATGTGAACTGGCCTTGTGGCCCTTTACTTGTGCTCAGAGTGTGTGGTGACGTGATCCACCCTGAGCTTGCTTTGCCTCTCTTGACTGGTCTTGTGACCCCTTGCTCTCCCCCACTTTGCCTATGGGGGTGTGTCAAATGTTATATCTGCTACAGTTTGTTTAGGCTGTAGTGGGGTAGTTACTATGGGGTACAGTAAGTTTAGGGTTTCCTACTTGTACCCAACTCTTTCCTAGTTCAATCACTCTTGTTCATTCTGACAGTACCGACCCCCAGCTGCACGCGCTGGCCGATTCTCACAACGCGCACAGTGGGGGCTAAACCTGGGTATCGAAAAGAATTACAACGCGTGGAAGATTTTTTACGTCCACTCAAAGGAAACAGTAGCAGCACGTGATGTCATTTTCTACGAGCGACTCACCCTTTCAACGTACCTGTACAACTTGGAGACTTCACGAGATGTCACAGGTGGATTTCGTGGGGACCGAGCCTTCGCTTCGGCAGAAGATGAAGCTGACCTGGACGAGCAAAACGTAGAAGGAGCCTCGGAGGAAGCCGGACCTTTTCCCTACTGCTCGGTTGATGTCCCGATGGACGACGAAAATCCACGCGACAACATCAACGCCGAAGTGTACTATCACTTCGCCGACAACGGTTACGTTACACCTGCACAGGTCAACACCGACGAAGCAGAACGCGTAGGACCAAATTTCAATCCTACACCAGAAGCGGGAGATGAAGCAGTCTATCCCGAGGACACAACACTCCCCCGCTACACACAGAGTGGACTCCAGATACTTGGCCTCGTCACCGCGGTTCACGGCGCAACCATTCCTAAGGAGCCTACTACAGTTCAGCAGGCTCTGGGGGGGGAGCATAGGGAAAAATGGCGCGAAGCCATGGACAAGGAGCTGAAAGCACTGGAAGAACGAAACACTTGGAAGGTTGTTCCCATCGGCGTGGCACGAAACAAGACAGTACTCACCGGGAAATGGGTCTTCCGTGTGAAGACAAAGGAAGACGGCACCATCAACAAGTTTAAAGCGCGCTGGGTCGTACGCGGCTTCGATCAAGAACACCGACGCGACTTCACCGAGACATTCGCCCAGGTCAGCCGACACACCTCACTTCGAATCCTTCTCGCGATCGCCGCCATGAAGAAAAAGAAGCTGCGGCAAATCGACGTCGCGAATGCATTCCTCTACGCACCTGTTGACGCTGAAATCTTCGTCGAACTCCCGCACGGCTCCAACGGAGAACCCAACCAAGTCTGTCAACTGCTGAAGTCCCTGTATGGCATCAAACAGGCTCCAAGAATGTGGCAGCAGTATCTACACGCTCGACTCATCCGCATCGGATTCCAACAGCTACCACACGACCAGGGCATGTACCGGCTCACGAAAGGCGACGACTACATTCTGCTCATCGTTTACGTGGACGATCTGCTCTACATCGGCTCGACTAACAACGTCACTACCTGGTTCGAAGGGGAGCTGCAACAGGACCTCACTCTCACAGTGTCATCAACCGTAACGCAATATCTCGGCCTCAACATCCAGGAAGAAGAAAACGCAATCTACCTCAGCGCCGCAAAATACACCGACACCATCGCCAAACGCTTCGCACTCATGCCGACCACCATCTCCACGCCATACCGCTACACGGCAGGAAACAACAAGGAAGGATCCGCTCCACTAAAGCCTGCCGGCATACGCGACTACCAGAGAAGACTAGGGTGCCTCCTCTTCGCGGCCGTCACCTGCCGTCCGGACCTATCGTACTCCGCAAGTCAGCTCGCGACCTACCTCAAGAAATCTGAAGCAGAACACATGGCGGAACTCGACCGCGCTCTTCACTACCTCGTCAGCACCCCATCGGTCGGCCTGACATATCACAAGAACGGGACCTCGACACCTAAACTAATCGGCTACGTTGACGCAGATCACGCCGGCGACTCCGACAACAGGCGCTCACGCACCGGCTACATCTACCGACTTGAACCTATCGGGCCCATCTCTTGGCAGTCGAGCAAGCAGGAACTAATTGCTCTCTCCTCAGCTGAAGCAGAATATATCGCTCTCTGCTCAGCCACCAAGGAAGGACTTTATCTTCGCGAACTACTGGAAGAAGCGAAGCTGGCCCAGTTATTCAGCTTCTCCTTGTTCTGCGACAACCAATCTGCAATTCGCATAGCCAACAAGAATGGATTTGCGAACAGGACAAAGCATATCGCTCTGCGATATTTCTTCGTGCAGGACGAGATCGAGAAGGGGAGACTCGAGCTGTCTTACTGCCCCACGTCCGAGATGGCAGCTGATTACTTGACCAAGAATCTTGGAAAGCAGAAGTTCGAATACTGCATGCTGCTGACTGGACAGAGCCACGTCACCAGCAGCGACACTCCAGAAGCGAAGGGGAGTGTTGGAAACAAGCAATTTAGCGCCTCTGTCGTGTCGAAGCACTAAGTTGTAAGCGAAGCGAAATACAAGTGAAGCATCGGCGAGTCAACCCTCGGAGGTTGAGTAACTGCTGGAGGTTACGCGGAAGTCAAAGGTCAGCAACCTTTGACCTGACAAGTACAGCGCGACAGCAAGGACAAACAACTGTCTCGATAATGAGCAGTTGCCCGAGTCGTTACTGTATCGAACAGCAACAGCAACAGCAAAAACAGTTGTTAGCTATAACCTTTCATATTCCCTTGTACTCTTATAAAAGCCTGTATCTCCTTGTTTTAATCAATCTACTTTGCCCTCACATACTAGCGCAAGGTGGTTCACAGACTTATCATTAAAACACTTCCGCTATTACATCATTCCTACTCAGAGTTTAGTCCTGCAAAGATCCTAAGGGCTTTTTCTCAGCCCAACACGTTTGAGGCAGAAGCCTCATATGAAAGCTTCTCAAAATGTGATCACAAACTTTCTGTAATAAGTCATCTACTGTAATTCTACTGAGTAAACCACCCGATAGATGCACATAGTACGGTACTATGCATCTGCTCACGAAGCCGAGGCATCATCTGGTTGATGTAGCGTCAGACTCAACGAGCCCAACAATGCAAGAAAGAACCTTAGGGCGTGTCCGGAGAGTACCGTACGTATGTCCAAATGCGGTTGAAGAAGGTTGGATCTTATCCTGAGCGATCTATGGTTGGGTAGGGTAGGGTTGTCTGCGAATACGTGCATTGTTGGACCCACCCTTACGAAGCAGAACCCGCATTACACAGCGACTTTATCGAGCAAATGCCTCATATCGAGCACACGACTCGTCATCAAACAGAAGCCTCCTGCAGCATGAGATTTTCGAAGTTGTTGATCTCCCCGTCAACGCTCATCAAGTTGACTCACAAGTCACTTCACTTCACGCAAAACCCTCATCAAGCAAACATTTTTTTACGCAGAGGATTCATCCAGCATCAGCTTCTCAAAGTTCTTGATCGCCTCGTCAATGCTCGCCAGCTCAGCCGCCAGCTTGGCAGCCTTGCTGGCATTCTCCTCCCGCACGTTTGCTGGCACCTTCTCCTCGTACCCCGGCACACCCATCTTCTTGGCGAGAGCCTCCTGCAGCCTGGTGGGTGGAAACATTACAGATACAACAAGCGAATGAGGGTAGCAAGTTGCTGGCATTCTCCTCCCGCACGTTTGCTGGCACCTTCTCCTCGTATCCCGGCACGCCCATCTTCTTGGCAAGAGCCTCCTGCAGCCTGGTGGGTGGAAGAAAACAAATTTTGTTTCACAGCATGAATCAAGGATGCCAGTTCGCTTGCCAATCTCCTACCACGTTCGTTGGCACCTTCTCTTCTTGGCCAGCGCCTCTTGAAGCCTGGTGGGCAAAAAGACAAAAGACACAGATCAATGAGTATCCACAGCAAGCCCTAAAAGGAGCCTTCTCCTCGTACCCGGCACGCCCATCCTCTTGGTTAGCGCCTCTTGAAGCCCGGTGGGTGGAAAACACTCTAGAATGTTTTCCTATTCCAAAAAAATATCCTTACAATAAGCACTTACTGGTTCAGGATTATCAGATCTTTTGCTTGCAGTAAAAAATGAACTGAAATGAGACAAGTGTGGAGGCAAGAGACTCACTTGGTGTTTTCGTTCTTGCGCTTGCCCAGCCTCTGTGCCTCCGCCTTGGCATCCACCATGCCCCTCAGCAACACGTGCACAGCCCCGACAGTATGCTCACACCAGCAACGCCCTCTGTGAGCCAAGCCAACTATACACGGTACTCACTTGGCGGTTTCGCCCTTGCTTGCCCAGCTTCTGTGCCTCTGCCTTGGCATCCACCATGCCTCTCAGCAACACGTGCACTGACAAGGGTGCTCACAAGAGCAAGGCCAAACATAAGCCACCAGTGTGAATCAGCTGAGACCAGTTCTTACTTGGCTGTTTCGTTCTTGCGCTTGCCCAGCTTCTGCGCCTCTGCCTTGGCATCCACCATGCCCCTCAGCAGCACGTGCACGGAAAGACTCTCATCCACTATTGCCACTGCACACCCTGCTGGGGCTGCCTCGCCTGCTGGGAGCACCTGAAGAGAAAAGGGAAAGTGGGGTGGGGAGGTATGCAAGAAGAGGAGAATGAGCCCTCACAGCAGCACCATCCCCCTCAGCAGCACGTGCACCGACAGGCTCTCATCCACTATTGCCACAGCACACCCTGCCGGGGTGGATTCGCCTGCTGGGAGCACCTGAGAGGGGAGAGGATAGAGGGTAGTGGGGAGCGGAAGCGAACCTTGTGAAGTAGGTTGCAACAGCAGCAGCACCACCACCATGCTTCTCAGCAGTACGTGCACTGACAGGCTCTCATTCACTATCGCCATTTCACACCTCGCCGGAGCTGAAGCATGCACTGTGGCGGAAACTAAAGACATGAAAGAAGGGGGAGCAGAGGAAGCAGGTGGTGTGAAAAAGAGGAATTTTAAATACAAGAACAAGCGGGAGGATAAGATTTTTGATCGCTGGTCAAGCCGGGCTGGTGCTGACAAAGCATGTCCGCAAAGAACGGGTGAAGGGAGTGCGTGTCCATGGGTTGCGTAAGTTAGAGTCAAGCGTGCACGCTGCATTCGAAATTAGAACCGACCACTTCCTTGTGAGGGTTATGGAGGAGAATGATAGAGAAACGATCAGGTTGTTCGAAGATCGCCGCATGCTAGCATGGTTTCTGAACTAGCGCTTGTCCTTTTAAGACGACCCTTCCTGTACGAGCAACTGAGAAAGGTATAAAGGAAGATGATTCTTGGTATGATTTGATTGACACTCTCTTTGCCTTTACCACTCAACATCCAGACTTAACTTGTCAATCAAATCATACCAAGAATCACTATCGTTTAAACTTTCCTCAGCTGCTCGTACGGGAAAGGTCGTCTTAAGAGGACATGCGCTAGTTAGAAGCCATGGCAACCATGCGGCGACATTCGAACAACCCAATCTTTTCCCTATCATTCTCCCCCATAACCCTCACGAGAAAATGGTCGGGTCCAATCTCAAACGCAGCGTGCACGCCTGACTCTGATTTACGCGGCCCATTGACACGCACTCCCTTCACCCATTCTTCACAGACATGCTTCATTCCTTCTTTTTTGCAATAGTGCCCACATACCTCTCAGCAGCACGTGCACGGACAGACTCTCATCCACTATGGCCACTGCACACCCTGCGAGTATGCTTTAGGCCTCAATCTGTCAGCTCTCTCTGCCATACCTACCCCCCACTGCTGCTTACCTGCAGCTCTGCCAGTGTCGCGAGGGTCCTGATCTCCCCCACAGCAGCCACCACAGCACCAGAAACAGCCTTAGAGTAGCACTGAGCTTACGCTGCGTGCCTGCCTGTGAGCCCTCTGTGCCATGCGTACCCCCCATTGCTGCTTAACTGCAGTCGCGAGGGTCCTGATCTTCCCCACACAGCAGCCACCACAGCAGCAGCAGCAGCAGCAGCAGCAGCAGCAGCAGCAGCCTCACTCACTCTTGCCCTGAGCACACACTAGCCAGACCACTGCCTATGCCATTCCATTCACTACTGCTTACCTGCAGCTCAGCGAGTGTGGCAAGAGTCTTGATCTCCCCCACAGCAGCCGTCACAGCAGCAGTAGCTGCCTCACTCTTGCACTGAGCATAAGCGGTGGGCCGCTGCTTGGGCTGCAGCGCATACGCCATGCGCAGGGAGCGGATGGAGCGAACAGCGCTCTCTGCTGTCGCCATCATTGCCTCTGCATCGGGATCCGCCCACTCCTGCCATGGGAGCAGAGGGGTGCAGAGGGCTGTCAGGGTGGAGGGACAGACACATGAGTGGGCCGCTGCTTGGGCTGTAGTGCATAGGCCATGCGCAGCGAGCGGATGGAGCGAACCGCGCTCTCTGCCGTTGCCATCATTGCCTCTGCCTCGGGGTCCGCCCACTCCTGTTGGTGGGTGCAGAGGGGTGTAGAGGGGTGCAAAGGTGGAGAACGACGACAAGAATTCCGACCACTGTTGGGGCTGCAGCGTATGGACCATGCGGAGGAAGCAAATGAGTCAAGCAAACTGCACCCTCTGCTGTCACCACCATTGCTTCTGCCTCGGGGTCCGCCCACTCCTTTTGGTAAGCGAAACAGCAGAAAGAGGGGAGAGGTTGGTTAGAGCTAAGGTTAGTGGAAGGTGGAAAAAGTTCGGATCATCTGCCAGTGAGTCATTCAGCACGGCTAGCAGACAGCGTGGGCATCTTGCAACGATGCCTTATCAGGAAAGGACAGAAGGTTCGAAACAGAGTGCTTCTGCTTCGCGTACCTTGACAGGCGAAGGGGAAGGAGCGAGCATGATGGACGGCCAGGTGTAGTCGTCGGGTTTGGGAAGGCGCTGCCAGAGCTCCTCCGTAACACGTGAGACTCTATTAGAGAGGCCTGTCTACCCAAGTAGGAAGGAAGTGTGAGAGCGTACCTTGACGGGCGACGGGTAAGGAGCGAGCATGATCGAAGGCCAGGAGTAGTCTGCTGGTTTGGGCAGGCGTTGCCAGAGCTCCTCCGTGACGAATGGCATGAAGGGGTGCAGGAGACGCAGACCCGCGTCCAGACACACCCAGAGGACCTCACGAGTCACCTGAGAGCGATGGACAGGGGTTGAGAAAGGTGGAGAGGGGTATGAAGCGGTAGTGAGGGGTGGGAGAGCAGTCGAGCGAGGTAGAAAGGGGTGGTGAGCCCATATCGTTCGTTTACGACGAGCAGCCCCCGCAGTGGATGCAAACCGTCCGCTTCTTCCTCTCCCGCCCGGGCCTCCACTCGCTTGACCTCTGCTCGCTTGACCTTGAAGTGGGTCACTTCAATGAACACGTCACACAGCTGGTACTGCCACCACACGTACGCCGCATTCATTGCCTCTGCTAGGTCATACCCCTCCAGCGCGGTTACTCTGTGCCACAGAGAGCGTGTGGTCCTAGAACCAACGACAAGCCTGCTTAAACCGCCGTTTGAGTCAACAACAACAGACCCAACCAAAACCCCAGCCACACCCACGGCCCACCTGTTTGAGCTTGAGAGCTTCCTCCCCTTCGGCAGCATTGAAAGCCGGCTTGGCGACTTCAATGAACACATCGCACAGCTGGTACTGCCCCACGCGTACGCCGCATTCGTCGCCTCTGAAAGGACGTACCCCTCCAATGCGGTTTCTTTGTGTAGAGTGCTAGAGCCACTAGAACCAACACCAAACCTGCTTGAAGCAGCGTTCAAGCCAACGGAAACACATACCCATGTAACCAGCCACGTCTTACCCACTGCCCACCTGCTTCAGCTTGAGTGCTTCCTCTCCTTCAGCTGCATTGAAAGCTGGTTTCGCCACTTCAATAAAGACATCGCACAGCTGGTACTGCCACCACGCGTACGCTGCATTGGTCGCCTCTGCCAGGTCATACCCCTCCAGCGCGGTTACCGCACGCGTAACCGCGGCATTCAGCACGGAGAGAATCCAGCGACAGGACAGCGGGAGCGGCGCGGAGAAGGCGAAGTTGAGCGTGGGAGTGAGGGCAGGCGAGGAGGAGGAATCGGAGGAGGAGGGGGAGGGTTGGGGGAGCACGGACGGGGGTGTGAAGGAGTCTCCAAGGTTGAGCATGGCGAATCGGATTGCGTTCCACAGCTTGTTGCACCAGAGGCGGTAGCCGTGCACTCGCTGAATGTCCAGGTTGATGTTCATCCACTGGCGGGGGCGGGGGTTGGGTGGGCAGGGGGGATGGCAGAGAGGAGAGAGGAAGAGACGGGGCAGTGGAGTGGCGAGTGAGTCGTCACACGTGCACAGCACAGCTTGTTGCAGCAGCGGTGATAGATAGCCATGCACTCGCTGGATGGATGTCCAGATTGATGTTCATCCACTGGGGGGAGAGAGGGGGAAGAGAGAGGAAGAGAGGGCCGAGAGGGAGGGCAGGGGAAGTAGAGGGGAAGAGATGGAGTAGATGAACAGTGAGTGAGTTGTCTCACATCCACATCAGCAGCTTGTTCCACCAGAGGCGGACAACAGAGATCAATAAACTTTCACATGAAATAGAGACTCAACTAGGTGGTGTACTTGTTGGCGAGGCCTTTCAGAAAACCTCACTCACTCACTCACAAAAACCGCACCTTGCCCTTTTCTGGAAGGAGCCGTTACCCACCTGAATAGTATGGTAAAGAGAGATGGGTCAACCCAAGGCAAGGGCGTACCTGCGTGGTGTAGTTGACGAGGGCGAATCGCAGGGCGTCGCAGCCGCACTCAGCAATCCCGTTAGGGAAGTCCGCGGCCTGCCCTGCCTGCGCCTTCTTCACCTCCCGCGGATCCAGATTGCCCTTCTCGAGGTTCACCTGTAGGCTGTAGCTGTTGCAAGGTGATTGTGAAAGAACGTACCTGAGTGGTGTAATTGACCAGCGCAAAGCGGAGAGCGTCGCAGCCGCACTCAGCAATGCCGTTGGGGAAATCCGCAGCCTGCCCTGCCTGGGCCTTCTTCACCTCCCGCGGATCCAGATTGCCCTTCTCGAGATTCGCCTGCAGCTGCTGCAGGGTGATGCCGTTGATCACCTCCAATGGGTCGATCACGTTGCCCAGTGATTTGGACATCTTGCGCCCGTGTGCGTCCCGGACCATGGCGTGCAGGTACACCTGTGGGAGGGTCGGGAGGATAGGGAGGTTTAAAGGGGAGGAGAGTGAGTCGGTGGGGTGCATCTGCTGCAGGGTGATGCCGTTGATCACCTCCAGAGGGTCGATCACGTTGCCCTATGACTTTGACATCTTTCGGCCATGGGCGTCCTGCACCATGGCATGGATGGAGATACACCTGCGGGGGGATATGGGGGACAGGGAGGTGAGTGGAGAGGAGAGTGGGGGATGAATGGATGAGGCTGCGGCAGCTGCTGCAGGGTGATGCCGTTGATCACTTCGAGTCGAGTGGGTCAATCACATTCCTGAGGAATGTGATTTTGACATCTTGCACCCGTGTGTGTGCATCTCGAACCCTGGCTGGCGTGAAGGTACACCTGTGGTAGGTGACTTTTGAGTCGACTCAAAAGTCAACTTGAACCCTGGCGTGAAGGTACACCTGTGGTAGGTGCAAAGCGAGGAGGATGGGGGTGATGTGATGCCACTAATGACCTCTAGAGGGTCATGCCCCGACTCCAGCAGCGCCGTATGGCACCCTAACCTAGCGCCATCCAAACAGCCCTTTTCACCGCTTCCGCCCCTCTGCAACCCTTTTCACTCCTTTGCACACACACACCTGCTTGAAGGGCAGCTGTCCAGTCAGCCGAAGCCCCATGAAGACCATCCTTGCGACCCAGAAGAAGAGAATATCCGCAGCAGCCGAAGCCCCGTCTCCAGCAGCGCGGTCGGGTAAAACGCCTTGAAATCCGCACTCTCCTCGGGCCACCCAAACACCGAGAACGGAAACAGCCCCGACGAAAACCACGTGTCCAGCACATCCGGATCCCGCCCGAGCTCGAATTTCCTGCCCGGAAACTTCTTTTCGGCTGCCCGGCGCGCGTCTTCGTCGGTGCGGGCGACGACCCAGTTGGTGTTGTACGCGCCGAAGTCGCGGACGGGGAAGTCGCGGGCGGCGGCCTCGTCTGATTGGTCGAAGGTGACGTACCACGCGGGGATGCGGTGGCCCCTCCAGAGCTGGCGGGAGATGCACCAATCACGGATGTTCTCCAGCCATCTGAAAGGGGAGAGAAGGGGGGGGAACAAGGGGGAACATAGGATCCCAGGGGAAGGGGAGTTGGTGGGGCATGTAGAGTGTGCATATGCAGCATTGAAGTGGTGGCCCCACCAGTGCTGGCGAGAAATACACCAATCACGGATGTTCTCCAGCCATCTGGGAAGGAGGGATGGGAAAAGGAGGTGCTGGGGAGAGCCTATTGAGACGAAGGATGGTTGAAATGTGAGTGCAGACAGGGAACAAATCAGTGGCCCCACCAGAGCTTCTGGGAGATAAAATTATCCCAGTAACCAAACCCTGGTAACCACCTTCCCCAGGCCATTCCTTACCTGAACCACGTCTCCTCGTGTGCCTTGCGGATGAACTCCAGCTGTCCGTCCCTCCCTCACAGCCTCACATGCTATCTTGCCATGTTAACACCGTTCCCTGCCTGTCCTAGCAACAAGACAGCCTGACCGTAATAGATAGAAATACCCACCTGAACCACGTCTCCTCATGTGCCTTGCGGATGAACTCCAGCTGGCTGTCCCTCCCTCACAGCCTGGCATGCTCCCTTGGAATGTCAACACACTGTCTTGCCTGCCCAGTGACCACCAGCTCAATAACCACCTTTTCCCAAGAGACAGAGACATATCATCACCCGTCTGAACCACGTCTCCTCGTGTGCCTTGGCGATGAACTCCAGCTGGCCGTCCCTCACAGCCTCATGTAATATCGTGGCAAGGCAAGACACCACTGTGCTGTGCCTGTCCTAGTAATAAAACAGCCTCACCCACAACCAGCTCCCCTTATATCACAGATACTTTCACCCACCTGAACCACGTCTCCTCGTGTCCCTTGGGGGATCAACTCCAGCTGCCCATCCCTCCCTCACAGCCTGGCACAACTTTGGCCACCGAAGCCAGCCTGGTAAGCACCTGTCCTGTAACAGCCTTTCCCACGCACCACCTGGCCTCGGAAATATCTTACCTGAACCAGGTCTCCTCATGCGCCTTGAGGATCAACTCCAGCTGGCCGGGTAACCACCTGCTTCTGTAACAGCATGCCCAGTAACCACCTATCCCAGTAACCACCTATCCCAGTAACCACCTATCCCAGTAACCACCTGCCTCAGGCTATTGTTTACCTGAACCAGGTCTCCTCGTGCGCCTTGGGGATGAACTCCAGCTGGCCGTCCCTGACAGCCTGGCACGCGTCAGCCGCCACGTCAGCGCAGCTGACATACCACTGCGGCTTGAGCATGGGCTCGATGATGTCCTTGCTGCGCGAGCAGAAGCCCAGCCGCATGGGGTTGTCTGCCACTCCCCGATAAAGGCCCTGAGGGAGGGAAAGCAAGGGGAAAAAGGTAACACGGGGCAGAGAGACAGCAAGGCTTGAGCATGGGCTCGATGATGTCCTTGCTGCGCGAACAGAAGCCCAGACGCATGGGGTTATCCGCCACTTCCCTGTAGAGACCCTGCAGTTATAAGGATGACAGAAGAATGCGTGGTGGAGGGGGGGGAACCAGGGCTTGAGCATGGGCTCTATGATGCCCTTGCTGCGCGAGCAGAAGCCCAGCCGCATGGGGTTATCTGCTACGCCCCTGTAAAGACCCTGCAAGTACGGCATAAGGAGAGGAGTAGTGATAGGGGTAGGGGAATGCAAGGGCTTGAGCATGGGCTCTATGATGTCCTTGCTCTGTGTGTGTGTGTGTGTGTGTGTGTGTGTGTGTGTGTGTGTGTGTGTGTGTGTGTGTGTGTGTGTGTGTGTGTGTGTGTGTGTGTGTGTGTGTGTGCATGCGTGCATGCGTTTGTGTGTGTGTGTGTGTGTGTGTGTGTGTGTGTGCGTGCGTGCGTGTGTGCGTGCGTGCACACATGTGTGTGCACGTGCACTCTTGCTTGCATCACGACAGGCCCACCTTACCCTGCTGCCTGTGCAGCTTGCAGTGTGTTTTCGTGGCTTCCCACAACAACCCCTCTCACCTTCTCCTGCAGCTTCTCCAGAACAGCCGTGCGCGCGTCAAACCGCTTCATCCCTTCGAACTCCTTCCCACCGTTAGCATTAATCAGCCCGTCATCCGTAAAGATATTGATGAATTCCAAGTTGTGCCTCTTGCCGGTCGCAAAATCGTTGGGATCATGGGCAGGCGTGATCTAGCAGTGGGAGGGAGGATTGAGAGGCAGTGTGTGCATGGGGGAGAGAGAGAAAATGAGAAGCCCATCGTCAGTAAAGATGTTGATGAACTCCAGGTTGTGACGCTTGCCGGTGGCGAAATCATTGGGGTCATGGGACGGCGTGATCTGGAGGATATAGAGCAGTGTGCGTGTGGGGGAGACACGGGGGATGAGAGTGGGCGTTGGCGTTGATCAGCCCATCATCCGTGAAAATGTTGATAAACTCCAGGTTATGGCGCTTGGCCGTGGCGAAATCGTTGGGGTCATGGGCAGGTGTGATCTGATGGGAGGGATGGTGGTAGGTGGTGAGAGAGTGGGAGAGTGGGTGGGAGAGAGGAGGAATGAAAGTGGGAGTTGAGTATGAGTTGACTCAGTAGCCCATTATAAGTGAATTTGTTGATGAGCTCCAGATTATGAAGCTTGCCCGTGGTGGAATTGTTGGGATCGTGGGCGGATGTGATCTGACAAGGAATGAAGGGAGGATTGATTGAGAGGCAGTGTGCGTGTGGGAGAGATGGAGTGAATGAGAGTGGGAATAGACTCATCAGAAGCCCATCGAGAAATCCACCAGCTCCATTGCATGCCCCCTCTCCCCTTCGCCAGCACCCTCCCTCCCCCCTATTTTGCTCTCATCTTCACAGCACCACTCCCAAACGCCATAACCACCAGCTCAGCATCGCACACAATTGCATACACTGCAAACTTGCTTCCTTTCCCCCCCCCACCTTCCTCCCTCTCCCTTCTTTTCCCTCTCTCTACCCCACGTATCCCCTCCCTCCCACCCCCTTTGCTCTCACCTTCACAGCACCGGTCCCAAACGTCATATCCACCAGCTCTGCATCGCACACAAATGGAATCCTTCGATCCAATGCTTATTAGCTGTTACTACCCCCTCCCATTCCCCCAGAAGCAGCCTCCCTCCCCCTTTCGTCTACTCCCATCCCCCTCCTCTTCCTCTCAGTCTCACCTTCACAGCACCGGTCCCAAACGCCATATCCACCAGCTGTGCATCGCACACAATCGGGGGATCCTTACAGCAACTGCTTACCTTCCCATCCTCTTCCCCCAACACCCTCCCTCTCCCTTTCATCCTCACCTTCACAGCGCCGGTCCCAAACGCCATATCCACCAGCTCAGCGTCGCACACGATCGGAATCCCACACCCCATCCCAGCCCATCCCAGCCAATCCCAGCCCATCCCACCCCATCCCAGCCCATCCCAGCCAATCCCAGCCCATCCCAGCCCATCCCAGCCAATCCCAGCCCATCCCAGCCCATCCCAGCCAATCCCAGCCCATCCCAGCCCATCCCAGCCAATCCCAGCCCATCCCAGCCCATCCCAGCCCATCCCAGCCAATCCCAGCCCATCCCCGACGCCACCTCGCTCCCCCTTGCTCTCACCTTCACAGCACCAGTCCCAAACGCCATATCCACCAGCTCTGCATCGCACACAATCGGAATCCTTCTCCCTCTGAACGGGTGCACCGCAAACTTGCCTTCTTCCCTCTTTTCACCCTAGTTCTCCTCCATCTCTCCCTCCAATCACACCCCCTCTCCCCTACCCTAGTCCCTCCCCCACTTCTTCCCTTCCGCTCACCTTCACAGCACCGGTGCCAAAAGCCATATCCACCAGCTCCGCATCGCACACAATCGGAATCCTCTCGGCCAACGCTTACCCCCCTCTCCCCTCTCCCCTCTTTCTCCCCCACCTCTTCCCCCAATCCCCCCGTTGCGCTCTCACCTTCACAGCACCAGTCCCAAACGCCATGTCCACCAGCTCAGCATCGCACATAATCGGAATCCGCCTCCCGCTGAACGGGTGCACCGCAAACTTGCCGTGAAGCGCCTTATAACGAGGATCATCCGGATGAACAGCCACAGCCGTATCCCCCAGCATGGTCTCCGGCCGGGTGGTTGCCACCACAATCTCAGTCAAAGCCCCCTCGCTGCCTGCACCAGCGGCGCCTTCTCCCTGTGCCGAGTCGGCTTCTAAGGGGTATGCGAAGGAGGTGATAGCTCCGAATTCCACTGGCTTTTCGTAGCCTGGGACAGGGAGGAGCGTGCGCCCCTTCAGCTCGTGGTATTCCACCTGGGGAGGACAAAAGGGAAAGGCAGGGGTTTAGCTCTTAGTGGGTCAGATCATGACGGGTATGCAACACTAACTTGTTGCAGCCGGGGACAGGGAGGAGCGTGCGGTCCTTCAGCTCGTGGTATTCCACCTAAGGAGGAAAGAAGGAAAGGCAAGGATGTAATATTATAGTGGTTCAGCTCATAACGAGTATGCAACACTGGCTTGTCGTAGCCAGGGACAGGGAGGAGCGTGCGCCCCTTCAGCTCGTGATATTCCACCTGGGAAGGGAATGAAAGACAGAGTCAGATTACTAGAAGCATTAACAGGTCAGCTCATAAGGGTTCCACACCACAGCACTGGCTTGTCGTAGCCAGGGACAGGGAGGAGCGTGCGCCCCTTCAGCTCGTGATATTCCACCTGGAAGGACAAAGAAAGGCAAGAATTCAGCTCATGATGGGCCAGCTAATCATGGGGGTATGCAACACTGGCTTGTTGTAGGTGGGGACAGGGAGGAGGGTGCGGCCCTTGTGGTCGGGGTATTCCACCTGGGATGGGAACAGAATGACAGTTTGAGTACTGGACCAGTACTACTGGTAACAACAAGTCAGCTAATAAAGGGTGCACTGCACCGCACCGCACTGGTTCATTCATTGTGGCCCGCAGCGGCAGCAGGGATGGACGCCCAACCTATAACAAAGGATTACGCTTGCGGTCGTTCTAGCGGGGGTGCAAAGCTAAGATACCGAAATTAAATGCCAAAGCTAAGATACCGTACCTCAATATCGGAGATGACTGTTCGGAGGACACAGTCCCAGTTGATCAGGCGGTTATCCCTGCGGATTAAAGGGGAGGAGCCATGACAAGCAGAGACCGGGGAGAGGAGGGGACAGCAACGAGGCAGGGAGAAAAACAGAGAGATCGTTGAGTTGACTCTCAAAGGACACAGTCCTAGTTGACCAGGCGGTTATCCCTGCAGGTCAGTGAGGGAGAAAACACAGGAGGGAGGTCGGAGAGAGGAGCAGTGAGAGGAGCGGGGAGAGAAGCAAGATCACAGGCTTAATTGTTGACTGAACCTTCGAGCAGCATCTGAAGGAGAGGGTCCGCTTATATCATTATATGCATGTAGGCAGAACCTCCCCTCCAGAGTCCATACACACACACACAACATAAGCTGCTTACCTCTAGATGAGCCTCCTCTGATAGTGCAGTCTTACAAACGCTGTGTAAGGCGCCGCATAGAGCATGCAATCAGGCCCACAGCACAGCACCGCACAGCACCCTTCACAAACCTGTAGATGAGCCTCTGGTCGTGCAGCCTGACAAATGCCTCTGTGGCGGTGCGAGAGAGCATGAAACCAGCCTCTCACACCAACCCCACAGCACCGCACAGCACCCTTCACTAACCTGTAGATGAGCCCCTGGTCATGCAGCCTGACAAACGCCTCTGTGACAGCACGGGAGAGCTTGTCGTCCATTGTGAAACACTGGGGAAAGGAGTGGGGGGGGAGGAAGTGGGAGGTGGGTTTGGATAAGAGAGGGGCATGTGTGATGCCTACGGCACGGGACAGCTTGTCGTCCATGGTGAAGCACTGGAGGGAAGGAGTGGGGGGAGGTGGAGGGCATGCAATGAGGAGATTTGTCTCTTATAGTGAGCACGTAGCACATCACCCTCCCCTGATGGTGCAGCCTGACAAACGCCTCTGTGACTGCACGAGAGAGCTTGTCGTCCATTGCGAAGAACTGAGGAGAAATGGGGGGAAGGTGTGGGGGGAGAGAAGGGGGATTTGGAAGTGTGGAGACGAGAGAAGCACTGGGGGAGGAAGGGGTGGGGAGAAGGGAATAGAATAAGGCAGCCAGGGATTGTCACTATACGAAGTAAATACTGGAAGTGGAAGTGGAACAGGAACAGGAATTGTGAGAGGGGGCAGGAACAGGAGGCAGGCAGAGGACGGACGCGTTACCTCGCGGGACCAGTCAAGGGACGCGCCCATCTTGCGCTGCTGGTTCCCAACGCGGCCTCCATAGTCCTCCTTCCACTTCCACACCTGCACACGCAGACAGAACAAACAAGAGATGAAGTGAGGATTGGAAAGCAGGTGTGTTCCTTGTCAGTCAGCCTCCAAACCCAACCCGAGAAACAACCCTTCTCAGAACAAGAGAGCAAGAGGAAAAGGATTAAGACTGCAGTAACAATGACCACAGGACCATAACGAGGAATAACCATGCTGTGCATACCTCCTTGACAAAGTCCTCCCTGCCCACGTCGTGGCGAGACAGACCCTTCTCCCGCATGAGCTTCTTCTCCACCACCACCTGCCAACCAGGGGAAGGGAGAGGAGGAGGTGAGGGGGGGGACGATGTGGTGTTGGAGAGGAGAGGGATGTGAGTCGACTACAAGTCGCATCGTGGCGAGACAGACCCTTCTCCCTCATCAGCTTCTTCTCCACGTGTAGAGAGGGTGTTTTTGAGACGTCTAAAAAATACCCTCTCTGCATGAGCTTCTTCTCCACCACCACCTGCCAACCAGGCGAGGGCAGGAGACGGGAGATGGGAGGAGACGGGAGGGGAGGGAGGGCGAGAGGAACGATAAGGTGATGAAGAGGAGAGGGTTGTGAGTCGACTCAAAGTCACAATCGTGTCCTCCACTGCCGCTGTCCGCCCCAACACACACAACACAATCGAGCGCCTTCAGCCAAACACACCTGAGCCACGCTACCAGGCATACATACCTGAGCACCTTCAAACCACAGCTGGGCGGCAATGCCCGCCTGGTCCATCCCAGCCCAGGTACCCAGCACACATTAGAGCCACTCATACGCTTCCACCGCACGATCGTGTCCTCCACTGCTGCTGTCAGTCAGCCCCATCGCACACCTGACCTGAGTGCCTTCAGCTTCACGATCGGTCCCTGTACCCCCCACACACATTACAGCCGCAGCCGCTCATGCGCTTCCGCTGTACGATAGTGTCCTCCACTGCTGCTGTCACGTCAGCCTGCCCTGCCCCCCCATGGGTCATGGTCATGTGACCTCTCATTGAACGGTTGTGTGAGCTCTGATTGAAACATCTTACCGGAGTGGCGGCGATGCCAGCATGGTCTGTCCCATATATGCAGCACACATTGTAGCCGCTCATACGCTTCCACCGCACAATCGTGTCCTCCACTGCTGCTGTCAGCCCCACCGCACCTGAGTGGCGCGGATGCCACGCACACCATACCCACGCGCATATTTGCAAACCCTCGTACGTACCTGGGTGGCAATCCCCGCATGGTCGGTCCCCGGCACCCAGCACACGTTGTAGCCGCTCATGCGCTTCCACCGCACGATCGTGTCCTCCACTGCTGCTGTCAGCCCGTGCCCGATGTGCAGCGCTCCTGTCACATTGGGGGGCGGCACCACCTGCAGGAGAGAGAGGAGGGGAGGAGCGGTGGAAAGGGGTGGAGAGCAGTGAGCAGTGAGCAGGGAGCAGAGAGAGGGTGGGTAACCAAGCAACAATGGGCTCATCTAGGACCGTTTCCAACCAGGCTATGAAAATAGGGTCTTATCAGATCAGATGCAACGCGATTGACGCAGGGATACAAGGAGGACTAGCGTGCTTACAATGACGAAGGGAGGCTTGGTGCTCTGGTTGTCGCCCTTGAAGAACCCTGCCTGCTCCCACCACTCGTACCACCTGGTGGGGTTGTGAGGAGAAGAAAGAAAGACGAGGAAGACAAGGGGGAAGACAAGGGTGATGGCGTGGGAGAGGGAGGAGAGACAGAGGGAGGCTTGGTGCTCTGGTTGTTGCCCTTGAAGAACCCTGCTTGCTCCCACCACTCGTACCACCTGGTGGAGTAGAGTAGAGTTGTGTGCCAAACAGCAGAAGAGAACGGAAGAAGATGGGGTGGGGGAGGGAGGAAAATACTCATCATTTACACAGTGAAAGAGAGCAGTGCACTGTGCTGTGTCACATAAATCAATACAAGTTATGAGACGCCTCAAAGCTCAAGTAGCAAGCTTATTTGCACACTCCATCCGTCAAGGACGGTTGGGAGGCATGTGCATCACGGAACCGATTCCCTCCTATGTACAGTGCATCCCTACCCTCACGATGCTTCGACGGCCTTGGGGTTGTACGCCTTGGCCATCTCCTTGGCGAGGTTCTTCTTCTGCCCGGGCTCCGTGGGGCCGAATACACTTAATACGCGTTATAGAACTGACTCGTTACTATGTAGTGTTGATCTATACTCACGATGCTTCAACGGCCTTGGGGTTGTACGCCTTGGCCATCTCCTTGGCGAGTTTCTTCTTCTGCCCAGGCTCCGTGGGCGGATTCGCTGCATCTGCCTCCTCGCCTGCCCCTCCCCCTGCTGCTGCCGCTGCTGCCTTCTTTGCCTTCGCCTCGGCCTTCTTGGACGGCTGGAGAAGCAAGAGCAGGCACATATGGAAAACGGGAGAGGGAGAGAGGGAGGGGGGTAGGGAAGAGAGAAGGAGGGGCATGCTTGTCATACTTCAAGTCACCAATCTTAACAAAAAAGAAGCCCACTAATCTCACAAATGACACAGTCCTCCGCACATTAGCAGAATCAGTTGCCTTTAAAGCTGCGGTCTACATACTACGAGCAGGAGGCCTGAGTTTATCACTTGAAAACAGGGTGACCCGTTTTTGGACTCGGCCCCCTTTCATGCAAAGCTAACGGTTGAGGGGGGTGGAGAGAGGGGGTTGGGGTTCTTTCCGCCCTAAACCGAACTCCCCAGGTTATTTCCCGCCCTTCCGCAGACCCTTCCCCCAAACCACGGGTCAGCACGAAGTTGGGCTGGATTCGTTTTTCCTGTCTGAGTTCGTCGCTGCGGTGTTTCTGAAACATGCTGACTTCGTTCTCCAATCAGGCCGCACGAAAGGGTGGGCATAAAAACTACCCCCAAAATACACCACTTAGAATGTAGACCGCAGCTTTAAAACGATAAACACAACAGGAGCCAGAGGGAAAAAGGGGCACAATTCGCACGTACCTCAGCAGAAGCGGCAGCAGCAGCGGCTGCCTTGGCCTTGGCTGCCTTCTCCGCCGCCTTCTGTTTCTTCAGCTCCTTCTCCCGCGCCTGTGTTTGAAATAATGGAGGGGTGATAGTAACGAGGGTTGACAAAACGGAACCGGGTGGTGAAGAAGCAAGATCAATGAGGAGGCCATGATACGGAACCCACATGGAGGAGAAGACGTTCTGTACGTCCTATCCTGTCAGTGGTGACAATGACGGACGGACTGTGACAAAAGTGGACTCGTGAGAATCCTGCTCGCGACACTAAACAGTAACAGGTGATGACCAATGACCTGGCTGGGATGGTAATCAGGACCGTCCATTTATCGTCCCTCCCTACATTGTCTCGGGCGTGCCAACCACGCGAGCCATTCAGGAAAGACTATGGCCACCCTTGCAAGAAATCTTGAGACTTGCGCTGATGCAATAAGGTCACTTGCGAGTTGATTCAAAGATCGATACACTGACGCGAGCCGAAATTCGTGTACAGCCATGGCTTTGGGTGACCTTTGCCATGCTGCACACTGCTTGTGAACAGTCCTCACTGCGGACCAACTGCGGACTAGACGAAGCAAAAGGTAGGATCCTCTGATCTGAAGTACCTCAGTATCGTCACCACTACAAGGCCCACCTTCTCCTCCTTCTTCTTCTTCCTCTCAGGGTCCTCCTCCTTCTCTCCAGCAGCCGCATTGGCCTCAGGGGGAGGCGGTGCTGCTGCTGCAGCTGCCTGGGGATCCTTCTCCTGTAAATGTAAAGGGAGACAACACGAAAGAAAACGAAAGGAGAACAAAGGAGCGTGGGAGAGAGAACAGGAATAATATATTGAGATATGGTACCGTTTGAGATAAAAAAAACTCAGTTCTCTGCGGTTTAAAGCTATTCCGAAGCTGGTACGATGCAAGCAGCTACACATGTCCCTGCTGGCACTGCTGCGAACAACGCCGAAGCTTCTGAGTGCGTAACTCCCGTAACTCTCACGCAAACTGGACGATGATCGTAGCGCTTCGCGTGTGTTTGCCCTAGCTTTGTTTTTTAGGCAACGATCCTCGAGCTCAAGCTTAAGTACGCGAGAGATTACTCCGTCCCATTTAATTATCCTTAAAGCATTCGATCCCGATCGCGAGCTCGCGATCGCGCATTGGCTCTTGATCGGGTCAAACCAGCTCTAGATGCCAGAACACTAAAGCATTTGAAGGTAGTAAACAAGGTCTCTGAGGACACGCGAGCTGTCGCAAGGCTCACGGCAAACGAGCGATCGAGCGAAGAGGCTCACCTCCGGTGCCATGGCGTGACGTCGAGGATGGGCGACTAGGCGAAGCTGGAGTTGCTGGGCTGGGATCGCTAAGCAGAAGCTAAAGTTCCAAGGATGAAACTACGGAAAAGGTCCGCCCATTGCGAAATGTCACAGCACGCACTGCGACTTGAGGTCGTGTTGGCAGTGGTGGCGAGTAAACGGAGTTTTCCTCGACACGGAATTGCGACTGCACGTCGCACAAAACTAGGTCAACGTCTCCAGGTTCTGGGTTTTGAAGTGTTCACTCGTTAATGCGCAACTCATTATCACATTGTCGATTGCACTCAAGTGTACACCAGGGAGTTGCTCCAGAACAAGTAGGACCTAGTAAAATTCTTGAGTACAGGCACCGCAACAATTCAGGAATTTTGATCCAGTGGTGAATTAATAGCTTAGCGGGAACCACTCTAAACAGAACCCTAATTCTAGCACTGGTAGTTTGCTCGCTCGCTCGCCGTGCGTCATGGTTGCAATCGGAAACGCGTGTGCTTGTAGCGAGCCTCACGCGAGTCTAAGCGAGCAAGCTTCGAGAATGACTTCCACTTGCGATAGCATAGACTGTGCTCGGCCGTGTAACGGGTGCAACTGTGACGAGGACAGTAACAGTGTCATTCAATCAGGCAGCTGTTCTTCCGTCAGTGGCGGTTGCAGTAGATCTGGTCATGCCTGCGGCTCCTTTCCCCCCGTTACCACGTCCACAAGCAGTGTTACCACTAGTGTTACCGCGAATGTTACGGCTAATGTTGATGTTACTTGTAGCGCTATCTCCACTAGCAGCGACAGCAGAGACAGCAGCAGCCGCGGCAGCAGTGCGCCGAGCGTGCGCATTAGCGGAAGCGCAGCGGTGAGGGCGCGGGGGAGCGGAGGCGGAAGACTGCTGTGCGGGGATTGCGGAGAGCAGCGCGCCATGGTGAAACGGCCCAAGACCGGCCAGCAGGTGCGCTCGCTCCCCCCGCGTGTTTCCGCCTGCTTATCCCCCTTGCCCCCATCTCCCCTCCCCCCGCGCCCGCCAATCCCCCCCTCCCCTTGTCCCATTGATCCCCCCCTCCCCTTGTCCCGTTGATTCTCCCCCTCCCCTTGTCCCTTGTCCTGAATGTGTTATTTCCAATCATTCCATGCTTCGTTGCGTCCACCCATTGTCCCCCCTGCTCTCCCCCCAGTTGTGCAAGGAGTGCTTTTTCCGTCTGTTTGAGTCCGAAATCCATGCCACCATCGTGGAAAACAGGCTCTTCAAGCGAGGGGAGAAGGTGGCAGTGGCTGCGTCAGGGGGGAAGGGTGAGTAGCAGCCGTTGACGGCCTCATTCCCATCCCATATAGGCTTTACGGCCTTCAGATGAACAAAGGGTGCTTCTCCTTCCGTGCGTACAAGTGGGACATCCATCCATGCCACGATTCACGGCTTGTATTAAAGGCGCCTCACGACACGTGTGAGATCCATGCCACCATCGTGGAGAGCAAGCTCTTCAAGTCAAGCGAGGAGAGAAGGTGGCAGTGCCCGCATCGGGGGGCAAGGGTGAGTTGGGTACAAGCATTTGATCCTCTCATCCTTTATAGCCTTCAGATGTGAGTTTCCAGGCGCCTCAAAGCTTGATCTTTTCATCCTTTAGAACCTTTAGGTGTCCCTATGCAAGCTTTCGATTTCCTACTGTAGTGCACCCATCTCCCTCCCTCCAGCCGTTGCTGAACCCAGAGGCTTCACAAAGAGTCCTTTTTGCCTCTTCCCTTCCTGTCTCCATCCCCAGACTCCACAGTGCTCGCTTGCTCACACCATCTCATCTATCTCCTCAACGCGCGCCATGACTACGGTCTGCAGCAGCTCTTCCTGCGGTTGGAGTATCCTTACAGAGCATACTCTTGATCCTGCAGCTCACCCCGCCACCTCTCCCTTTACCTCTCCTCCCTCCCCCCCCCTCCATCCCCCAGACCCCACCGTGCTTGCGCACATCATGTCTCTCCTCAACGCTCGCCACGACTACAGACAGCTTGAAGCTCTTCCTGCTCTCCGAGTCAGTCAGTCAGTCAACTCCCAGAGTGCATATGCCACATCATCTCCCACTCCTACTCAAAGTGGATCCAGTTTTAAAATCTCTCAAAAATCATCCCTCCTCCCTCTCCCATTGACTTTTGAGTCGACTCAAAAGTTCAAATCTCTCTAAAATCACCCCTCCTCCCTCTCCCATCCCTCCATTCGCCAGACTCCACGGTGCTTGCGCACATCATGTCTCTTCTCAACGCCCGCCACGACTACGGCCTGCAGCTGTTCCTGTGTGAGGTCAACTCCCAGAGCGCGCTTGTTATCCTTCATCCATCCCCCCCACCCACCCCCCAGACTCCACCGTACTTGCGCACATCATATCCCTCCTCAACACTCGCCACGACTATGGTCTGCAGCTCTTCCTGCTCTCCATTGACGAGGGGATTACGGGGTACAGAGACGACTCACTGGAGACAGTCAAGCGGAACGAGAAGCAGGTGAGGGTGGAGGAGAGGCAGATGCAAGGGACACATGTGTAGGTGGGATGGTTCCTGGGTTTGTGGCTACGGCTTGCAGCTCTTGCTGCTCTCTATCCATGAGGCGGGGGCATCACAGGTTACAGGGATGCCTCGCTAGAGACAGCCAAGCGGAACGAGAAGCAGGTGAGGGTGAGGGCGTGGGTGGGTGGGTAAGAGGCACGATGCACACATGCGTGGAAGGGAAGGGTGCTATGTGCGTGGAAGGGAAGGGTGCAAGTGCGTGGAAGGGAAGGGAAGGGTGCTATGTGCGTGGAAGGGAAGGGAAGGGTGCTATGTGCCACGACTACGGCCAGCAGCTCTTGCTGCTCTCCATCCATCCAATGACGAAGGGATCACGGGGTACAGAGGTGACGCACTAGAGACAGTCAAGCGGAACGAGAAGCAGGTGAGAGTGGGGTGTATCCGCGCTGGTTACACGTGCTGGGAGGAGAGGCACGAGGGGGGGCACATGTGTGGGTGGGAAGGGAAGGGCCTCTACGGGTGGACCATGCTTCAAATCAAATCTCAATCCCCTTGTCGCCTCTCTCCACCCCTTACACATTGCAGTACAGCAAGGGGACCTGCAGGCCAGGTCCTTGCAGTACAGCATTCCCCTCACTATCCTGGCCTACAAGGACCTGTATGGATAGTCCATGGACGGGATCGTGCCTCTGTGCCTCAAAGCTCAATCTCCCCCTTCCCATTCCCTTACGAATTGCAGTACGGCATCCCCCTCACCATCCTCTCGTACAAGGACCTGTACGGGTGGACCATGGATGAGATAGTCGCAGCAAATGCTCAGTCCTCATCTCCTCTCCCTCCCCTCTTCAACATTGCAGTACGGCATCCCTCTCACCATCCTCTCATACAAGGACCTGTACGGGTGGACCATGGATGAGATCGTAGCAACGATCGGCCGCAAGAACAACTGCACGTTCTGTGGGGTGTTCAGACGACAGGTGAGTTGTGTTTTGGCAGCAGGTAGGCTGGAATGGGACTGGTCTTCTGCCGTGGATTTCCTTGAAACGCACGCTCTGAGCCGGGGAGCATCCCCAGTCCAGGTCCCTTTCTCCCTGTTACAATGCCCCTTAAACACACCACAGGCCCTGGACAGGGGAGCAGAGCAGCGCAGCGCTCCTGGGGAGCAGAGCAGCGGTCCTGGGGAGCATGGGCTCGAACGCGGATGATGCAGGGATCGTTCCATTCAACTCAACGTGCAGAGGGCGGCGTGGCAACGCTCAGTCAGTGCTATTGTCCCTCATGTTCCTCGTCTCCTCCTTGTGACAGTGCCCTTCAATTCCACCACCGGCCAGCCTTGGATTGGATAGAGGAGCATGCCCAGGAGCAAACCCTGCCCAGGAGCACCGTTGCAAGGCTTATCTTGTTCGCTCTCCCCCCCTATTGCAATACACCGCATGGTACCCACAGGCTCTGGATAAAGTTGCAGCGCTCTTAGGAGCGGTCAACCTAGTCATGGGTCACAATGCGGACGACTTCACAGAGACAGTACTACTCAACCTGCTGAGGGGAGATGTGGCGAGGCTCATTCGCTGCGCTGTTTCCCCTCCCATCACCAAGCTGAACCTGCAGAGGGCAGACGTTGCAAGGCTCAGTCAGCGCTGGTCCCCTCCCAGTCGTCTTCCCCTTCCTGTTGCAATGCCCCTTTTATACACCCCAGGCCCTAGACCGGGGAGCAGCGCTCCTGGGTGCCGACAAATTAGTCACAGGGCACAATGCAGATGACTTTCCAGAGCAGTGCTGCTCAACCTGCTGAGGGGGGACGTGGCGAGGCTGAGTCGCTGTGCCGCCATCACCACGGTGGAGGACTCTGCGCTGCTGATTTGAGCTCATTCCTCTCTCAATTTCCGTCTCCCAGTGCTCGTTCGCTCTCTCTCCTCTCCATGTTGCCCCCTCTCCCATGCTACAGGCCCTAGATAGAGGCGCAGCCCTCCTAGGAGCAGACAAATTAGTCACGGGGCACAACGCGGATGATTTCGCTGAAACTGTATTGCTGAATCTGCTGAGGGGCGACGTGGCGAGGCTCAGCCGCTGTGCCGCCATCACCACGGGAGAGGACTCTGCCCTGCCAGTGCTGAACTCATTCTTTTTTCTTTCACACTCTCTACAGGCCCTAGACCGGGGAGCAGCGCTCCTGGGAGCAGACAAGCTGGTCACGGGGCACAATGCGGACGACTTTGCCGAGACGGTATTGCTCAACCTCCTGAGAGGCGACGTGGCGAGGCTGAGTCGCTGTGCTGTCATCACCACGGGGGAGGACTCTGCCCTGCCCAGGAGCAAACCCTTCAAATACACCTACGAGAAGGAGATTGTCATATATCCGCCCCTGATCTAAAACCCTTGAATCTCCAATGCTCTCTGAAATCTAGTTCATGTGTGATTGATTTTGGCTTCATTTGTTCATCCAGCAAAGTCAAAAACATGTATTTTGTTCAATCAAGTTTTCCCTTGTGATCCAGAATTCCTTAACCCCTTTCCTCTTCTTCCTCTCCACTCTTTTCCTCCCTTGCTCTATCCTCGCTTTTTTTCTTCCTCTCTCCTCCTTCCTCTCTTCACTTCAACTCACCCCACTTCCTTCTTCGCTCTTGTTCGTCCCTCTCCCTCCCTTCCTTCTTTGCTCTTGTGCGTTCCTCTTCCTCCCTTCCTTCTATCCATCCCTCTCTTTCTCGGCCTTCCTCTCTCTTCTGCCCCTACCCATTTCTCTTGCCTCACCTAAATTGCACCCTTTCACCATTTCTCTTTCCCTGTTGCCGCTCCACTCCTTCCTCCCTTCCCAACCTCCCGTTCCCTTTTCCACATTTGTGCATGTCTCCTTCCGTTTGTACCTCGTTCTTTTCCACCTTGTAACCACGTACCCTGCTTCGTTTAATACCAACGTTCAAACAGCACGTACGCACATTTCAAGAAGTTGGATTATTTTTCCACCGAATGTAAGAATCCCGCTTGCTTCCTCAACAAATACTTCACAAAACGTTTCTGTGCATGTTGCATAGGTCTTGCTGTTCGTTGTTAATTTCTATATTACGATGATTTTTTTAGAATTCTCAAAAGACACCCTTATCTTCTCTTGTACCAGCACAAGCACCATCGTTATCATCCTTATCTGGTGAGCGGCTCCCTCCCCCAGATTTAAGCAAGCCACCATTTTACTGCACTCTTCCCATATGCTTCCAACAGCTTTCCCTTCTTCTGTCACCCCTCCAGACATTTGTTCTCTTTGTCCACCCTACTCTCATCTCCCTCTCCGCCCCATGCCTCTGTCTGTATGTGCAGGCATCTACTCTCCAGACGCCTATCATATCTTGGAACCTCCCCCAGTACTTATCACCCCCTTCTCCTGCCTAAACTGCAATCACCTCCTTCTCTCTCCCCTTCTCTTCTCCCCTTTGCTCTCCCATGCATGTGCTTGTAGGCATCTATTCTCCAGACGCCTATCGAGGCTTCGCCCGTGAATTTATCAAGGACCTAGAGGCCATACGGTGAGTGGGTGTGTTCCTTACCTTTTTAGATTTGTGAAGAGTTTTAAGCCCATGTGACATCTGCTGTCCATGTGCCATCTGCTGTCCATGTGCCCACGCAGTTACCTGCTCTCCTCCTCACCTTGAGAGTTCTCAGAAGCGACATCCATACTTCACCAGGACTTAGAGGGCCATTGTTCGCCCTTTTAACCCGCCCATGTGTGATGAGGCCTCGAGCCATTCCGGACACAATCGAATAAGCGGAGGAGTTCAGATCTCAAGTTGACGGGGGGTTGAACATTTTAGAGTTCTTCTTGGTTTGCGAAATTAATCGTCCCCTGTGTTTGCTCACGCTCTCAGGCATCAAGCCATCTTGGACATAATAAAAATAGCGGAGGAATTCAAATTCCTTCAAGCTGAAACAATGGGTAAAAAAAAAAAAAAAAAAAAAAAAAACGCTCCTTTTGGTTCGCAAAATCCAACCTCCCCCGTGTGTGCTCTCTCAGGCCGCGAGCCATTCTGGACATAATCAAATCAGCAGAGGACTTCAGATTCCAGGCCGATGCGAAGATGCCAACTCAGCGCACCTGTGACCGATGTGGTTACATCTCCAGCCAGGTAAGGTTACATCTCGATTCAGGTGTAGTTACATCTCGAGCCAGATACGGTTACAATGTAACGCATGAAACCGACTCACCTATTGTAGGTATCTGTTAGCTGCTTCTTGCATTCGAATGGTCCTTCATTGAATATAACGTGTAATATAGCAAGGTAAGGTATAGCTGCAAGTACCAACCATATCGGAAAGTATGCATGTGACGTACCACATGAGGAAGAACAACATGGGGTAGTATGCATGTGTAGGGATGTTTTGAGACGTCTCAAAGGACCTATGACAGCGCGAAGTCAGTCAGCTGCTTCTTGCATTCACTCTTCCTCGAGGTGTCTGTACAGGCAGTGCTCGCCGGATATATTGGTATGACTTTTGAGAATTCTCAAAAGTCATACCAATTTACCTCGAGGTGTCTGTTCTGTACAGGCTGTGCTTGCCGGATCACCTCCTTGTTATTCCTTTCCTTCTGCATGTTCCTCCAAAACCGACTCCTCTTTTCCATATCAGCAGGAACTCTGCTGGTGTGTTCCTGGAAGGCATGAATCACGATCGTGTGAAACTTCCCTCTCTCCTCTTTCGACCTCTCTCTGCTCCTCCCTGTCTGCACCCCTCAAACTGAATCACCAGGAGCTCAGCGAGGGTGTGTGCTCCTGGAAGGGTTGAATTACAATGGCTTAATGGTCGCTTCTTTCCCTCCCTCCACTCTACCCCTCTTCCCAAGAACATTCCACCAGGAGCTTGCAAGGCGTGTGTGCTTCTGGAGGGGTTGAATCACAATGGATTAAGAGTCGCTTCTTTTCCTCCCTCACCTCGTTCCCTCTTCACGAAATTTTATTACCAGGAGCTGTGCAAGGCGTGCGTGCTCCTGCAGGGGTTCAATGATGACTCACAGTGACGAGAACATCTCCTGTCTCCTCTTTCGACCTCTCACCTCCCTCCCCCTCTCCGCACCCCTCAAAATTTTATTACCAGGAGCTGTGCAAGGCGTGTGTGCTCCTGGAGGGGTTGAATCGCGGGCTGCCCCGCCTGGGCGTGTCTCGCACTCGCAGGAAAGATGGGCAATACACTGCTGCTGCTGGTGCTGCTGCTGGGAGTGGTGCTGCTGCTGCTGGGGATGGTGGTGCAACTGCTGGTGATGCTGCTGCTGCTAGTGCTGCTGGTGCTGCTGGTGCTGCTGATGCTGCGGGTGGTGGTGCCACTGATGCAGCTGCTGCTGGTACTACTGCCACCGCTCAGGATGTTGTTGTATCTGTTGCTCCTGCTGCCTCTCCTGTACCTGATTCTGATGCTCCTCCCGTGGCTGATACTGAGGCTAGTGCTGCTCCTGGTGCCACTCAAGCAGGAGATTCAATGTCAGCAGCTTTCGATTCTCTTGCAGTAACTTCCACGTAGGTTATGACAACGTAGGTTATGACATCTGACTTGCTTGTTTATGCGTTGAAAAAAAAAAAGGACAAACAGTAAGCAAGTGAACGGTTGCTGTAGCAGACATTTCTCCCCGCCAAGAATGTATTTCTCCCGGCTCTGTTGCAACAAGTGTAATGGTTAAAGTGTAATGTGTCTGAACTACTGTAACTGGAGATCGTTATTACTTCTCCATCCTCTCTACTGGAAGAGGGAAGACTTGTTTATGATTATCAATTAGATACACATGTACAAAACAGACTTTGACTTTGTACCACACCAAACCCATCTATATCACACGACTTACCCATCACTCCTCCATCCTTCCTTCTCTGCTTCCGCGCACTTGGCTTGCGTCTCAATTACGCGAAACCACAGAGGTACTACAGGTAATACCAGGCGCGTCAGATTCGTCGTATCTAGACGTGAGCTTGTAGCGATGCGCTCGTATTTATTCGTCGAAACTAGACCCCTCCGTCACTTGCGGACGAGGGCGGTCTGGTACCTTAGCGCGAAGTAGAACAAGATCCTGTACCCGATAAAGAACGACACCATCACCACTGCAGACTCCCAGAACTTGCTGTCCGCCATATCGAATCGCGCAATAACGGTGTCGGAGGTGACTATACAGAGCGAGGTGGAGTCGCTCTTAACGAGGTATTCCCAGCAGACGGACGGGAGAGAGCCGTACTCGTTGAGAGTGAGCATTTCCAAGGGGTACTTGAAGGTGGAGAGGTAGTTCATCCAGATCCAGTACGGTGGAATGTTGTTCCTGAGTGCGGGGAAGATGGGGGATGGAGAGAGCAGTAGATTAGAGACATGGTGGGGACACACGGGAAGGGCAAGGAGGGAGCCATGCTTGTGGATAGTGAGTATCATGTAGTAAGCGGTACTTAGCGGTACCGAGCGGTACCGAGCGGTACTTCTGTAAAGGTAGTTCATGTCCATGCCGTAGGTGGAGTGCTATCCACGAGTATCTTACTTGGAAATGAAGAAGCCACTAAAGAGGAAGAAGAACGCCGTGATCGCCGTGACCACGGTATTCCCGGTGATGTAGTTCGGCACGAACGCCGCGAAGAACACGACGAACGAATTCCCCACCGCGAGCGTCAGAAACACCGTCGCGACGAACCGGAAAAACGCGGTCGCCGTCGCCGCGAGGCCGACCATGAAATACGCGACGCACGAGAAGAGCAGCGAGAGGAGGAAGAGGAACGGCAGGAAGACCAGCGCGCCCGCGAGCACGTACGATCCCGTGCGGTACGCGCCGCGCGACGTCTCGCGGATGTAGATCTGCCGTTCGTCGAGGAAGATCGGAAGGCCCTCGGTGGACGTGAACAGGAGGAGCGCGAGCGCGAAGGCGAAGAACGACGCGCGGTTCGTGATGCCTTCCGCGTCGTACCCCGATTTAAGGAATAGCGACCCAAGAATAAGCCCGGTGATCACCATGAGCCCGATACGCGATAAGAAGAGCTCCGGTGTTCGGAAGATGTTTTTGAAGTTGCGATCGGCGAGCGTTAGGGTTTCGTGGAGGAAGGGCGTGGCGAAGGTGCGCGGAGGCGGGGAGGCGTGGTGGTGCGGACCGAGGGCGCTGTGAGTTGCCAGGGACCGCTCATGCTCGTAGCGCTCCTTCTGGTAAGAGGGAAAGGGCAGTGGGGGGGGAGTGGGAAGAGGGAAGGGGGGAACGGGGGAGGGGAGGGGGGAAGGGTAAAGGGAAAATGGGGGAGGTGTGGTGGTGCGGGCACAGGGCGCTGTGGGTGGCGAGGGACCGCTCGTGTTCGTAGCGCTCCTTCTGGTAAGGCGGCAGGGGCAGTGGGGGGGAGGGAGATGGGAAAAGGGCTGATTGGGGGAGGCGTGGTGGTGCAGGCCGAGGGCGCTGTGAGTGGCCAGGGAACTCTCGTGCTCGTAGCGCTCCTTCTGGTGAAAGGGCAGGGGGGATTGGGGAGAAGGGGGGGGGAGGAGGGGGGAGGGGGAAGGGGAGGGGAAATGAGGGGAGGCGTGGCGGTGCAGGCCGAGGGCGCTGTGAGTAGCGAGGGAGCGCTCATGCTCGTAGCGCTCCTTCTGGTGGAAAGAAACAGGGGAAGAGGGGGGGAAGGGCGAAGGGTGAAGGGGAGGGGTGGAGGGGAGGTGAAATGGGGGGAAGCGATGGGGAAAGGGGGAAAGGGAGGGGGAACAGGGAGCAATGAAGGGAGGTGTGGTGGTGCGGGCTGAGGGCGCTGTGGCGAGGGACGAGGAGTGGGGAGGGTGGTTGACCCATGACTCGTGCCATGGTGAGTGCACACACTGCACACTACACAGCATTGAATCAGCTCATTCAGCCCCTCCACCTTCACATCACCCCATGGTAATGGTTCCAGTCATGCGTGAAGGCATGCCATCCATCCCATCCCATGTCACCATCGCTGGTCGTTGAACTTACACTGAAGCGAATGAGCTCGTCCAGCCCCCGCTCCTTCTGCTGCTCCTCCTCAATCATGTCAAGCGCATACTCGAGCGCATTCACCTGAAGATGCATGTTTAGCACACAAGGGAACAAAACAATAAGGTATCATGAGATGTGAAATGAGAGTCAGTGGAGGAGATACAAGAAAAGAAGGCTCCATGTTTAGTTCAGGCAATTGCTGTAAGGATTTCTACTCACATGTTCAGGCACCACTGTACCGAAGTCCTCGAAGAATTTCAGCATTCCTGGATAAGACCCATGGTACACTGCAGACCCCTTCGCCAGCACCAGGAAGTTGTGAATAAGGTCCAGGATTCGGAAGGACGGCTGATGAATCGTGAGGATAATCGTGCGGAGCCGATGTGTAGCAATGTCATGCAAGCTTTGCATAACATTTAAAGCAGCTGTAGAATCCAACCCAGAAGTGGGTTCGTCCAAAAAGAGTACAGCAGGGTCGTGAATCAAATCCACGCCGATTGAAACTCGTCGCCGCTCGCCTCCCGAAACTCCGCGAACTTCGGCATTCCCGATAATCGTGTTCGCGCAAGTCGTCAGCCCCAATTCGTCGATCAGATCCGAAACACGCTCCTTCTTATCCGCGAGCGACATGGTCGCAGGAAGTCGCAGGCGCGCGGAAAACATGAGCGTTTCGCGAACCGACAGCATGGGGAAGAGCTGGTCGTCCTGCATAACGTAACCCGACACTCGCTTGAACGACGACTCAACCGGCTTGCCGTTAACCAGAATTTCGCCGTCCAGCGAGGATTGGCTGATTCGCCCTGCGATCGCGTCAAGGAACGTCGACTTCCCCGCGCCTGACGGGCCGACTATCGCCATCACCTGGCCATGGCGTGCCTTGGCGTTGACCTTGTTCAGGAGAATCATCTGCTTCGTGCCGTTGTTACCCGCCTTCTTGACAACCTAGTTGGGAAGGATTAGCGGAGGGGAGCGGGTGGAACGAGAAGGATAAAGGAGCAGCACAGCACATATAGATTCACGACACGCCAAGAGATTTGAATACGGCAGAGTAAGAAATAATAGAGTGTTCTTGAGTCGAGTCTAAAGACGACGACAGTGGAAGCAAGAAATCGTTTGATGGAGTAGATTGTGGTGACAGATAACAGGAATGATAGGCACACCTTGTAAGTCAAATCGACGACGGTTAGGTCGTACGCGGAGTGGTCGAGCGCGTGTTTCACAAACACGCTCTTTCCAGCAGCGGCGAAATCCTTGAAAGAATCTTCCACGACCACACGTTCGCCGTCAGTACCGCCGTTAGTATGGCCGCCATGGTCGCCATTAGAACTGCCCCCGTTACAAGCACCGTTCTCAAGGTCAACCACGGTGAAGCACTCCGTGCCCTCGCGCGGCGCTTCACCCGCCGTGAGTCCCGCCTCTACGTCCGCTGCCTCCCCCATGCTGACAGCCACCAGGTTTGTAACAGCTCGTTGCACAGTCCGACGCAGTATTTTGACCCACACCCGGTTGATTCGATTCGTTCGCACTCGATCTACCCAGTCTACGGACAGTTGCAGCTGAGAAGCACGGCGGTCACTGTGATCTCCCTAGCCCTGCACCTCCGATGCGGATAATGAGCTTAGTGATGTTCGTAATAGCCACTGCTCACCGCTGCGTCTACCCGCACCAATCACCTTCCCAATGGCCAATTAATAGCAACCAAGGGTTCAGTGTAGGCCCTGTTGCCGAAGCCGGCAACACTAGCTGCTCCCCGTGATCGCTCCGCAGCACTTGCCCTCCAACCGTTGCTCTGCAGCAGGTACAGATCACTACGATCCGAATAACGGTTCGTAAGGAGTGTCAGAGAATCTGTCAGAACAAAGCCGTTCGACTCGCCAGGAGCCTTCTATGACTGCTCGACTGCTGTTAGCCGCAGAGCACGGCTCGGAAAACGGCCAAGAATGCCAAGAATGTTAGGAGACCCTCGGCACTGAGTCGCATGCACCTAACAAAGAGCGGCACCGCGCAATCTGTCCATATTAAGTCGCTCCTGTCGAGCATGCTCCACCTGGCGCCTGCCGCGTGCTGTGCTAGAAACTCGAGTGAAGGAATTCGTGCTAATCCACGGAACCGCACTTTGTCGGAAACTTGATGGATCCGACGTTGTGACTCCAGTTCCGCCAAGAACAGACAACCACTCTCACATCGCACATCAGCCGCGTCAGGCTGAGCGCAAGGCGCGCGCGATGAACGGATCCGCACAACCGCCGAGGGGCTGAACCTGGACCTGCCGCGGGGATGCACTGCGACGCGACGCGACTCGACCGTGACAGCTCTCATTCGTAGGTACGGCGTGTATGAGAATGATCGAGGGGGTTTCGTCGGTGGTGGTCAGCGGGGAAGTCGAGGTAAGGAGGGATTATCCGGCGATCGGACGAGGCGGAACGAGGGGTGGTGTATGGACGACGTTGCGACGCGACTCGAGGCTCGGGTGATATGACGTCGAGTGAG